TTCTAATAAATTAGTGATCACACGATTTCTTCATTTGTACACATTCGTTAATTTTAACAGTTACCGAGTAGGGTGTTTTATTGAGCCGAACTCATTTCGATACCAATTTCTAGAAAACACCACTGCCAAAATGTACAAATCTTGGGACAAAGAAACGCATAGCCTACCATCATATTCGCAATGCCAATGCCTAATATGAGTCATATTCCAGACAGATCACGCGATTGTACATTTGTACAGACGGACTTGAATTCGTTCCGATCTGTGTTTTTTCCATACTCAACTCATTAAACGCAAGTGTTACATATATGTAACGATCGAATTACTCACACTAATGTTGTTGTTAAGAAAATTTTTATTACCTAACAAAGATCCTCAAGTATTTCACATATTCTGGAGGTCGTACAGACACTATATATAATAGGCGAAAGGATTTTTTTTCAGCACATAAGAATGGGGTAGATATGTAGATGTGTAAACTGGTTTTGGTTTTCTCGAAAAGAGTTGTCCCCTTTTGAACAATTAAATTAGGGGTTTACTTTTTTGAAAAGAGTTACCACATTTTAAACAATTATATTACAATTATTTAAAAAAATAAATCAATTATTACAAAAGATGTATCAATCGAAATCGTTTTGAAAAACTTGTTTCTCACCTTAACTTTAGAAGGATTGCCACGTATTAAAAAAAAAACCAAATTATTTTGAAGAGGGCTGCCACCTGTTTGAAATTTCTAATTCACTTAACTAATACAACAAGTAATTTTTAAGCCAAAAAGAAAACCGACTTCAACTCGCATATAAAAATTTAAGAATATATTTAATTTCTTCACGATACGATTATAATTATCTGATCTAAAAAAAATTTGTATTGGAACACCATTGAGGTACTACTACCTTTCCGATGAAAAAAAAAATTATTGAAACCGGTTAACGTGGTCCAAAGTTATGCGGTAACATACATAAAACAAAAAAATATATATTCCGACGAACTGATAACCTCCTCTTTTTTTGAAGTCGGTTAAAAATTATATGAAATATAAAAATACGGGAATCAAACGAAACAGTCTTTAGTTTTAGTCTATAAAGAGGGTTGCCAAAAATTGCATTCAAATTATTAAATAAGTTGGATTAATTAGGGTTGAAAAGGCTTTATTTCCGAAATATGTTTAAAAACTTAAATTCGACTTGAATTAAGACAGTTGGATAATTGAAATACATACATACATACATATATGTATCACAATATGGGTGTCAGACGAAAGAGTTTAAGGTTTTAGGAGGAAAATATTTTGAAGAGCGTTGCCATATGTTTCAAAAGTCGAACTTAGTTAACTATCACACAGGTTTTATGAAATAAGGGTGTCAAACGAAAAAGTGTTAAGAAACTATTCGTTTGAACATTTATGATGATTTAGCCGATGAAAACTACCAACAAGCTAAATCTAAAAATGTATCGCTATACATTATTTTAAAAGTATATAAATCTCATTTTCTAAACATGTGTGATTTTTAAAATGGGATTAAAAATGAAAGCTCTTAATAGATAAATGCATCAAGTGCGAAAATAATGTTTTTTTCTTAATAACATAAAAATGGAGAGTTCATTAACTATAAGAAACCTATTTTCATCCTGTACTCGACTCTGCCTACAACCTCGGGTCACCAGACCTAAAATGCCGAAAGGGGTACAGATAAGAACAAATTGCGGGACTTGGGTACAACTGGGAAAGAAAAAGGGGAATTTTTCAGGGGACAAATAAAACGAAATGCATTCAACAAAAAATTGATTTATTCGCTTATGGAACAATAAAACCGTTCGAATATAAAAATTCAATATCATTTGAGCAAAAGAAAATTACAAAAAAAAATATATTTATGCACATATATATAAGAATATTTTAAAATGAAAATTACACTCTCCGTTCAACTTTAATTCAACTAATCGCCTGTGAATATTGAACAACACAAACACGCGAAAAGTGAACGATTGCGGACAAAATGGGGGACCTACGCAACCTTCTGTAGCAAAAGGGGGGAACAAAAAGTCTAAATGGGGTATGTCCCGCCATTGGGGTACGTCTGGCAACCCTACTACAACCTACATTAAGTTTGTTTCGGGTGTAATTCGTGTTTATTTTTGTAGCACCGTGCCATTTCCCGATATCTCGAGAAGATATGAACGTAAAATTGTCAGCTATGACTCATTTTGTTTGATAAATATGTGGCTATATATATTTATCATCACTGACACAAAACTAAATACTTTTTTTTCTAAGAAATAGTCAGCTTTTAATGGGAAATTTCCGAATTTTTTATATTTTTTTAGCTACTTACATATTGCGTTAGCTAAATTTATACTTTTATCCCCACAGACTGCTAAATACCTGCATCGCTTACGTCGTCAAGTTTTCAGTTCGTCCTCATCTTCATCCTCTTCTGCATCGTCCAGCAATGGCGGGCCGGTCTACTTCAGTACTCATAATACAGTATCGCATACACCAGCTGGAACCACAAGGTAAGTGTTAACGGGTTATTTGGAGTTTTAACTAGTTATTTTAAGTATTTAAAGAATTCCATATTCTTCGAATGTGTATTTATCATTTTTTGGTTATATAAAAATTGCCTATGGGGATTTTTATTTGAAGTAGAATTTTGGTTTATTTAGGAACTATGAAACAGAGGCTATCACTTGTTGAACTCGTAAAATATTTAAAAAAAGTTCAAGTCATTGCTAATGGCTTTTACTAAGAATTCTACAACAAAACTTTATTAATGACTATCCGCCCTAAGTTAGACAGGCACACTAAGCATTTTCTGAAGAACATCCAGCCGTAACCAAGGATGTGCAATCACCGAGTAGTTTTTCACCTCGACCGGGTTGTATCTATAAAAGCCAGCACTCTTTTTTTTTGGTTTAAAGATCTAATTTCTTTAGTCAGTTTTAAAAAGTGTGGATTTTATATTTCTTGCGACTAAGCTTATGTGTGTAAGTGTTCCGCCGAGCTTCTCCTACGATTCGGGGCTGCGCTTTGTTGTTGTAATACAAAGGGGAGGGACCTACAGTTTCACGCCGACTCCGAACGGCAATTGTATTTTTATGAGAAGCTGTTTTTCATGGCAGAAATACACTCAGAGGTTTGCCATTGCCTGCCGAGAGACGAGCGCTTTAAGAAAAATTCTTTTTTCAAAATTTTTTTTTGCGATGTTACTTTGACCAGAGCTTGAACCCAGGCCCCATGGAGTGTATGGAGTATTAAAAATAAATTATCACCACACCAAAAATCGTCAGATGATCAAAATTGTACCGAATTTGTATTGAATCGAATTTTATATTTAATGAACTAATTTATTACCATTTTAATTTTTCCGCAGCTTTTCTCAACGCTTTGGGGATGATGGCTCCTCATATGATTCGGCCCTCAGTTCATCCGGCGTGGGTGGTGGCGCGCACAGCTCATCCGGTGTGGGTGTTGGTTTGAGTGCGGGAACTAGCGCTGGATATGATAACAGTTATGGTAGCAACTATGCTGGCGTTCACTTTCCCACCGGCAGTAATAGCTACGGCGCCAACAATGCTGGTTTTGGCGCAACAACAGGTGGCGGGAACTACAATACCGGCTATAATTCCATACCAGTGGCCAGCAGATTTGGCTCATCGGCTTCGTCAAGTTCATCGGTCTCATCCAATGGCGGCCCGGTGTATTTCAAAACGGAGCAGTCAGTGTCACATACGCCAGCCGCTAATGTTAAGTAAGTATCTATTTTTTATGAAAAAGATTTGTGTAGTGTGTCGTAAAAAAGATAAGCCTAATTGAAATTAATTTCTCTTAGTAAATTTAGCAGCCGCTTTGGAGACGAAGACACACCACAAACAGTCAGCAAAACCGTCTCAACTAGCGGTTATATAGATGAGAAAGGTGTTCACGCTAAA